TTACAGCAGTTGTTGGAAGGAAAAGAAAAAGCAAGAAGAACGAGAAAAGAAACAAGAAGACAGATTACAGCAGTTGTTGGAAGGAAAAGAAAAAGCAAGAAGAACGAGAAAAGAAACAAGAAGAGAGATTAGAGCAGTTGTTGGGAAGAAAAGAAAAAGCAAGAAGAACGAGAAAAGAAACAAGAAGAGAGACTACAGCAGTGGTTGGAGGAGAAAGAAAAGAAACAAGAAGAGAGGCTACAGCAGTTGTTAGAGGAAAATTAAAAGAAACAATAAGAATGAGAAAAGAAACAAGAAGAGAGATTAGAGCAGTTGATGGAAGAAAAAGAAAAAGCAAGAAGAACGAGAAAAGAAACAAGAGAGACTACAGCATGATTGGAGGAGAAAGAAAAGAAACAAGAAGAGAGGCTACAGCAGTGGTTGATTGAGAAAGAAAATAAACAAGAAGAGAGGCTACACCAGTGGTTGGAGAAGAAAGAAAATAAACATCAAGAGAGACTACAGCAGTGGCAGGAAAACCAGCACCAGTGGCAACTTGAACAAAAAAATAAAACAAGAAGAACGAGAAAAGAAACAGGAAGAAAGACTCCAACAGTTGAGAGAAGGCCAGCATACACAAATGGAAGAGATTAGTAAATTTCAAAGTGAATTAAATACATTAAAGGGTGATTTACTGTCTTTTACACAAGAACGATAAATTAGCCATAAATCTAATCAGCCCCAGACAACGGGAAGCCCCTTCCAGACCCTGCAGCTAAACCCAAATGCAGACATCTTCAGTCCTGCCAGAGGTGATCTAGTGCAAAGGAGGCTACAAGAATTCGATGGGAAGGCAACGTGGGAAGCATATAGAGCACAATTTGAGCTACTGGCAGAAATGCCCGGCATGGCCAGGTGGATAAGGCGCTTGACTCACAATCTGAGGGTCGCGGGTTCGAATCCGCATCCCACCAAACATGCTCGCCCTTTCAGCCGTGGGGGCGTTATAGTGTGACGGTCAATCCCACTATTTGTTGGTAAAAGAGTAGCCCAAGAGTTGGCGGTGGGTGGTGATGACTAGCTGCCTTCCCTCTAGTCTTACACTGCTAAATTAGGGACGGCTAGCGCTGATAGCCCTCGTGTAGCTTTGCGCGAAATTCCAAAACAAACAAACAAAACATCTTTGGGGGGCGCATCTTTAGAATACCGTGAAGGTTAAAAATCCTTTAGAAAAAACTCTTGATAGAAACATAAAATAATTTTCACAATTTGGTTACGTATGTAACCCAAGAATAATTCAATAATACTTACGTCAGGAGGGAAAACTATTTTACTTCCTTTCAATCTTACCACTTTACCATCACTTTTAGTTGGTATTGCTATTTGTTCTCCGCTTTTTGGTTTTCTTTTCCGATTTTCATTCTTCGATTTTCGATTATCATTGTTGTGTCCAAGAAACAAATCATTCCTACTTATTGTATCCGCCTCTTGCTCATCGCTTTTGATTTGTTTATATGAAGGTTTATTTCTCCAACAGCAATACTTTGTGTATCCTCCTGTCTTCCAGGCTAAAACACTTACGACAAAAGTTCTTTTAAAAACATAAAAAAAAACATTAAACTTTTTAAAAATATCCAGAACGTATTTATGACTAACGTAAAATAACAGACTATAAACTATTAAAAGAAAATTGAAAATGTATGAATGGGTGCACCAAAAAGTGAGGAAACAAGGTAGAAATGGGTGTACCAAAAAGTGAGGAAACAAGGTAGGAATGAGAACGGTGTAATAAAACTTCCTCTGTACAACTTCACAAGGGGGAGTGTCCAACATCGGTTCATACCTACTTCGTTTATTCTTTCAATCCTGTATACAATTAGCCAGGTGGACTAAACTTATAAAACTGAGTTATGTTTATCATACAATAACTAGAGGTTTCTGTGATTCGAATTATTGGAGGCAATGCTGTTTATACGACACCAGCAGAATCAGATATTCATGTGGACCGATAACTTGTATGTTTTCTTTCTTTACAATTTGTCCCTTCTTTTGCATTGCATGAAAAGACAACAGGATTTCGTACATCAGCTATACAGGTGGATTAAAATACAATGATAAAAATCCTAAGAAGTTTCTGTGTATACAAAAGTATACCAATCGTAGACACTTTTGTATGTACCCATAACTTGTATAATATCATGAACACAGAAAAACGAAGCATGAATGGACCAGATGTCGGACACATCCCCTTATGAGGTTGAACAGAGGAAGTTTTATTACACCATGGCCATTCCTACCTTGTTTCCTCATTTTCGGTGCACCCGTTCTTACACTTTTAATTTTTTAAGATATTTTTTCCACTTGTTCATGTATTGTTTTCATACAAGGTGACATGATCTTATGCACCATTCATTCATTTGTGTTGATATCCTGTATGTATATCATCAGTGTGGTTGTGCACCATAATGCACATAATGTATGTGGAAATAATGGTGTATGTGTGGTGTGAATTCTCTTCACTTGTGTTGCGTGTACACATTGTGAGTTTGCATATGTGCTGTACATGTGATGGCACACACTCTATAGTGTGCAATGTAATTTGGGTGATGTAGTGTGAGTTATGGTTGTGTGCATATACTAAGGGTTGATAAATTAGTTAATTAAGTTAAGTAACTACTTCACGCTAGCACTAGCACGTTGTCCCTGTGCTGTTTTATTATTGGTGCACTTATAACTATGGTAAGTCTGTTTGTTACACATCTAGAAGCGTTCAACAATGTCAGTCAGTTAGTGAGATTGAGAAATTTGTGGTTTTGTGAAGTATTTCTATCTGCTCTGCTGACTTTAAGAGGTTCTATGACTTGTAATTTTGTATGTGGTTTGTGTAACATCTAACAGTGTCCACCAAATACTTTTGAATATTTATTATTTAATTGTTAAAGGTCTATATGAGTAAATAGTTTGTATTGCATGTATGGTGTATCCGCCCCATTCCTACTATAAGTACTACGTACTTATGATTACACCCTTTTAGTTTATCTCTTTATAAGTTAAAGGAACACAAACAATTGATCATCTCACCAGTCACCGATATTTGTATATTATCGTCAGACAAATTTGAATCGTATTTTGTAATCTTACTTTGCTCCGAATATCAAGACCACTAGACCAATCACAGCGAGTCCGGCAGGCAGAGTCAGCATTCTTTTTATCAATGGCTCTGAGATAAGTACAATAAAGAGTTAAGATAATTAATGTTATAGCATTTTATAATTTCTGGTTCAATCACTTCTGAAACGTCTAAAAAAATAAATATTAGTTAATGTAAGACACTGAGCTGGTCGCATCGCTTCGTTCTTTAAGATCTTTTATTGAGTTTGATTTCACGAATCAATCGTTCACATTGCATTGGTAACAGCGTAATTAGTGAAATCGCTATGAAGTTTACCCATTTTAACTAGTGCAGAATACACATTTACTAAGGTGTATTCATATAATTTTTTTTTCTAAATTTCCATACAATTTTGAATGTAGTTATGACATCTTCGTCGACTGGAAGTTTCAAGATCATAAACTTGTACTATTTACTTTGCATTAGTAACAGCTACATATTGCAAAAGTCTAAAAGTAATGTGTGTATGTTTCTGTACGGATTTCTTGAAAAGTGACCTGTTCCAACAGACAATTCAGAAACCTGTTCACATGGCTTAGCTTAAAATTGCTTGTAAACTATTGGTTAAAGTATGTTACGTGTAGACTTATATGATACCTTTCTTTGTTTCGCTAGAGTATTTAAGTCAGATATTTCCATAGTTCTGTGTCTTGCTTTCGATTTCGTCTCTTTTTCTTGTCAACTAAAACATCCAGACAACATAGAAGAAGCACAGCCAGTTCATATGACATAACAATGTATGTATTTAAAGAAGTTTATGTTTCAAACTACACTAATGTTTGCTTATTTTCCTTCCCTGTCCGTATTCAATGTCCCGTGATGGAACAGCAATAAGTCTTCTGATTTACAACTCTAAAATCTGAGGTTCGATTCCCCGCAGTGGACACAGCAGATAACCTAATGTGGCTTTGATCTAAAACGAACGAAACAAACGAGCCGTGTTCAATTTATCATTTGTCTAAAAATCCTGAACTTTTACAGTTTTTTCACAGCGTTTCTGGACCTGAATACAACATATTATTTTAAAAAAGAAACATTCTGGTCGTGTGGCCAAATTATTTGTTTTTGAAAAGTTTATTTTGAAGGTGCGTCATTTTTTTTATCTTGTACAGTAATATTTGTAAGTCGTGCTATCATGGAAAGTACTTTCTGAGACCATTAATGGTGGTAGTAAAGTCTTTGTCCAAAGGATATAAAAAGGTCTAGATTTTGATTTAAATTTCGCGCAAAGCTACACAAGGGTTATCTGCACTAGCCATCCCAAATTTAGCAGTGATAGACTAGAGGGAAGGCAACTAGTCAAACCACCCACCGCCAACTCTTGGGCTACTATTTTACGAATGAACAGTGGGATTAACAGTCGCAATATAACGCCCCCCCCCCGAAAGGGCGTGCATGTTCGGTGACTGGGATTCGAATCCACGACCCACAGATTTTGAGTTGGTGCCCTAACCATCAGACCATACCACATCTCAGTTAATATGGGATTAACAAACAAATGCACTGACCTCTCAGCCAAACTATCAGAATGAGGATGATATGATAAAGTGTGTATCTGTACGACTTCCAAAATTTGACAGAACTTTGCAAACAAGTTATTTCCCTAATCTCCATGAATCTCTCCAGACATGCCAAAGAGTGAAATGTAGTGGTTGAACAATACATTTGTGATTGACTGTGCTAATATTTCAGTCAATGGATAAGCTCCTGTCCACTTGGTGAGGTAATCATAATGATGATTATAATTAATTTAGTTTTGGTAGAATATCATTTAGATTTTGTAGAAATGAAACCTTGAATGGTTACACCTTATATGTACGAATATAGGGTGGTAGAGAAAGGCCATGGTTCCAGCAAATGACCTGAACAAACTGAAACTTACTGAGATAGTCTCTATGTAATTCCAAGGCACTATGACCAAGCCCTAGCATCACAAAACAATATATAAGACTACTAAGGACTAAGTAGGGTGGCGACATGGGTGCACTGAATGAAGTGAAATATTGCTCGTATTAGTGATATTGCCTTTCTTCAACTTAGTTATGAATGTAAGAGTAGACTTGGTCATTGTTATGTTCAATGAAATTGGTAATCGTTTAACAAGTTTGTAAGCAGTCTATTAATTCCATAAATCAAGTAGCAAATCTGATATAAACCAATACATTCGATAAAATGACAGTGTCCGTATAAGTCACGATTCCTTCTTCGTTTTTGAGTGATTTCATTCCTGTCAACTCTATACCTTTATGAATGGTCAGAACATGTCAATAAAATCAATGTATTTCAACGAATAATTCAATATATTCCTTTTTCAGTATTAGCTGGTGGTGTGCTAATCAGGCCTACTGATGCCAAAGGAAATGGCAAAAGTTCCTGAGTAGCACAGCGCCGTGTCTAACATCGTTTATGGCAAATGCAATGCCACCATTACATCAAGATACGCTCATTTCAATCACTAGTGAATATACAATGCACATAGGTTCTTATGGAACAATATATGTGCCAGACCCTTTGACCATGCTGACCTCTAGTATCAGTCACAAGTCAGTGAGTTCAGCCATCTCACCAACATGTAAAGTTCCACATCATTGCCTGATTGTAATAAAGACAGAGCTCAGATCCAATGGGAAGGGAAAAATAAAACTGCAAGAAGAAAAAGACATCTCACATCAGTAACTGAAATTTAAACAATACTTTACAAGCAGCAACCAATGCTTCTAACCTTGAAGATTTCATAACCTGTATGTTCACAGCTCCAAAATGCCTTCTGATACAAATTATCAGTAATCTGAAAAAATAAGTAGAAGTCATGCTTGACTTCATAAAGAAATCCAAAACCACAACCAAATTATGGTTTAACACAACAATTAAATGCAGCTAACATAAATTCATGTATAATGATTAATTTGTTCAGAAGTGATATCGAGACTAAACATTCAGTATTATCCACACATTCCGAAAATGATTTAGTATATATATCAACTAAAATATATGTTTAATGCCAAAACGGTTTATTTGCCTGAATAAGTTGTACTCTTGTATGTATTCAATTTGTGCATACAAGAATACATGAAATAGTTTGGTATGTACTAAAAAAATACGTGGACTTCACATGTGTTTCTTTTTTTCCACATTATTTAACACCAACTCGTAATTTGCAGTACTTAGTGACAAATGCCTCACGTTTAATTGGAATACTGCAATTCAAGTGATAGTAAATAAATAAAGTAATCAGAGATGGAAACAAGCAAAACTAGACTATTCTGCTATAAACATACAACCAGATCACATTTTGTGTCACCAACCACAAAGTATAATACATGCATATAAACAATTCAATGTAGTAGGTATACAACAAATTACAGCGAAACTACTTCTTTGTCTGAAATATTTTATGAGTGTGTGAGCTTTCTCAGATATCACTTTGTTTAGTGTCAAAAGCTATATTCAATTAAATTCTTCTGAACTTGTTTTAAGAGTCTTAATGCCATTTTTACATATCCAAATATAGCCATAACCATTAGAATGACATGTTATTCTAATATATTTTTTCAGACAGTCACAATTCATGACGTATAACCACACCTACTTGTTTTTTACAAATATTGTACAATTATTATACATCGACGATTTTCTTAATTTCAGCATATCAGTTTTCTTAGCATTGACTCAACGTAAGAGTAATAAATTTCTCCCCTTTTAGGCTGTACAATCATGCTATATAACCACAATGTAATTATGATTTATCGGCATTTAAATTACACATCTCTTCTTCTTGTCACTGGTTATGTTATCATCTCAAACACAAACAACTCGCGACCACTATTATTGATATCTTGCAATTTAACAGTGTATACTGTTTAGGTGTTTTATGACACATCATCATTCTCAGGGCAATCCCACAGAGGATCTGATACTCCATTCATTTTCTAACCATTTATGTGAAATATTGAAAAGAAACAAGTAGCTTCAAGTCTTGAGATACTGCAATTCATGAATAGAAGCTGTATGTATCAGTTTCACGTCTTCCATCTGTCATCAACCTCCATCTATAGTTTTGTTGACACATCTTCGGCTGCAGAGTTTCTGACATCTACAGTCTTGGCCAAAATGTTTGGATACTGTTCTATATTGATGTTATTGTCTACATGCATGGAATATTTATTGAGTAAATGTACGAGTAGTAACAGAGAAGGTAGCGTATGATCGGACAAACATGTACAAGTTGTTATTATGGTCTGTATAAGTTTTTTTTTTTTTTTAGTATTTGTTCGTCAAAATATACATACGTGCCTATCTTGTATCATTGGTACATTTATTTTCGAAATATTTCAACGCTTTATTCAGACAATTTTTCTTTAATTGGTGTAGAATCATACCTCGTCACATGCCAGAAGTTATAGGGCATCAAACTGGTCGACTGTACAGAAATGGTATGAAGTAAACAGACATTGTCAGAACAACAGCGTATCCTCATTGTAGTGTATCTAGAATCCTGAAACGTCATCAGACTACAGGAAACGTTGTTCCATGTAAGTCTACTGGTAAGTGCCGAAAAACTTCTGCTAGAGATGACCAAGTTTTGATGAGCTTATCACATCAAGGTCGAAAGAAGTTTTGCAACACCTTAAGACAGAAATGGCACGAACACGTTCATTCCAAGGTATTCAGAAGAACAGTGAATAGCAGACTGATCAAATAAGGTGATTTTGAAAGAAGGGTTATCTGCAAACCAATATTTACTAGAATTCACTGCCGTCACCCTGTTACTTGGGTAACACAGCATACCAATTTACAGTTGTGACACTGGCAACATGTCATATTTTCAGTTGAGTCCTGTTTCTGGTTTGTTAAAGCTTATGGTAGGATTCGTGTTCGTCACTTGCTTGGAGAACAAATGAGGGAAGACTATATTTCTCACAGGGAATACACATAAGGTGGTGCAGTACATGTTTGGGCAGCTATTCATTATGGTAGAAAAACTGTTATTCATATCCTCAGGAAAAACGTTAATGGCACTTCCTACAGACATCACACAAAAAAGAAGATATTTTTGTCATATGCTAGGAAAGGTTTAGAAATAACTTTGTGTTCCAGGATGGCAATGTTACTACCCACAGTGCACGTATTGTACTCGAGTAGGAGGACATAAAAAGATTGCCATGGTCAGCAAAGTCTCTAGATTGTCATCCCATTGAGAACTGTCGGGCAGAAATGAGTCGAAAAATTGTTAACCTAAAACAGCTATTGTAGCTGAATTGCAGCGTCTTCTATTGACAAGTTTGAATAAAATCACGGTGTATTACATCAACAATCTCATCGACAGCATGCCATGTCACCTTGTATAGGTTATTAGAGTACGAGGATGACCAAACAAGTACTGAACGTTTAATATGAATTGATATAAGGCTACAGTCGCAATATATAATAATTTGATATTATAGTTTGTCATTATGTTTGTTTTGGTAAGGTTATCTTGTGATAGGTGGAATGCCAAATTACACATCTCTCTGCAGGTGTCTTATAAAATTGTTTGTTGTTCTTATAAATCGTTCATGATGTCCATAGAACCTGCCTCATTATACAAATTGCATATGCGGATTTTTAATATGACATGCATTTCCCAGTTTGACAATGTTAAGTGTATTTATATTCCATCTTAATAATAATGATGTTATTTCCAAACCTTGCCCTAGCATATGGCAGAAATATCATCTCTATGTGATGCCAGTAGGAGGCGCCATTAACGCTTTCATGGAGGATATAAAGAGCAGTTTTTCCACCAGGACGAATAGCTGCCCAAACATGTACTGCACCACTTCCTGTGTGTGTTCCCTGTGGGAAAGACAATTTTACATCATCTGTTCTCCAAGTAAACGACGAACACGAATCCTACCACCAGTTTTAACAAGCTGGAAACAGGATTCATCTCAAAAGATGACATCACCAGTGTCCTAACTATACGTTGCCATGCTGTCTTGCCCAAGTAAAACGATGACGGCGATGAATTATAGTTAATATCGGTTTACAGATAGCCCTTCTTGCAAAATAACATTGTTTCGTCAGCTTGTTATTCACTGTTATTCTGGATACACTGGAATGTATGTGATACCATTCTTGTCGTAAGGTGTTACAAGACTTCTTTCGACCATCACGCGTTAACATGATCAAAACACAGTCATCTCTCGCAGCAGTTATGTGGAGCCTATCAGCAGACTTTCCTGGAACAACGTTTCCTATATTTCGATGACGTTTCAGGATTCTGGATACAGTACACTGGGGGTATCCTACTGTTCCAGCAATGTTTGTTTACTTCATACCATTTCTGGGCCATCGAACAATTTCACGCCTTATAACTTCTAGCCCGTGACAAAATTGTCTGAATAAAGCATTGATCTGTTTCGAAAAAGATTATACCAAAAGCAAACCTCTTGTACAAAACAGGTGTGTATGTGTGTTTGACGAACAAATGCTCAAAACAACTTATACAGACCAGAATAACAACTCGTATATGTTTGTCTGTTTGCTTCATATAATTTCTGGACAGTCGAACAATTTGACGCTTGATAACTTATAGCATGTAACGAGGCATTATTCTACATCAAATACAGAAAAATTGTCTGAACAAAGCGTTCATCTGTTTTGAAAAAGATTATACCAAAAGCACACCCTTTTATACAAAACAGGTGTGTATGTGTGTTTTGACGAACAAATTTTCAAAACAACTTATACAGACCAGAAAAGCAACTCATACATGTTTGTCCGATCATACGCTACTTTCTTTGTTACTATTCGGGCGATTTCTCAACAAATACTCTATGCATGTAGATGATAACATCAATATAGAACAGTATGCAAACAAACTTTGAAAGAGGAGTGATTGTTGGGGCGCGTTTGGTGGGAACTTCAGTGACCAAGACAGCTCCACCTACTGATGTTTCACGAGCAACAGTGTCTAAGGTCATGTCAGCATGGAACTCCAAGGGAAAGATATCATCAGCCAAGGCCAACAGGGAGTGGAAGTGCATACTCCAGGATCGTGATGTCCGTGCATTATTCAAACTGCAAGGCAAAAGAGGTGAGCAACCACAGATCAATTAACCAAAAAGCTGGGTTGAAAGCAGCCAGTTGCATTAAAAATAGTCCACCGAGAGCTCCACACAACGGGATACCATAGTCGGGTTGCAGTGCACAAACCACTCATCACACCTGGCAATGTATAGTTGCGCATCCAGTGGTGCAAAGATCACAGGTTATGGACTACCGAGCAGTGGAGAAATGTGATATGGTCAGATGAATTATCCTTCATCATGTTCTCCAAAAATGGACGAGTGCACGTGTGGCACCAACCTAAAGAATTCTACAGCTTTGAGTGCTTGGTTCCAACAGTGAAGGGTTCTGGTGGTTCCTGGCATGATCTGGGTGCACTCATACCCTTAGAAGGCAAGGTCGCTGCCAATCAAAACTTAAAGGTATTGAGTGATCATCTTGAACCCCATTTCTATACTGGAGAGAGGGGCGTCTTTTAAGATGGCAATGCCCCTATCCACAGAGCACGAGTTGTCGCCCAGTGGTTTGAGAAGCATGACACTGACGTTATCCATATATCATGGCCTTCACAGTCACCAGATATAATTATATAACATATATAATGACATTCTACCTCCGAGAGATAAAAGCTCATTTACAACAATAGTACACCATCAATGAAAGTTCGGCTGGTAAATTTAATTATCTGTGTTATGGTTTAAATCTCTTTTACCGGCTTAAATCTCAGATCAAAAACTTAGGGCGTTCGACTCGCAATCTGCGGGTTCGAACCCCCGTCCTACCAAACATGCTCGCCCTTTTCAGTCGTGGGAGCGTTATAATGTGACGCTCATACCAACTATTCGTGGTGGGTGGTGACGACTAGCTGCCTTCTCTCTAGGCTATCGCTGCTAAATTAGGGACGGCTAGCGCAGATAACCTTTGTGTAGCTTTACGTGAAATTCAAAACAAACCCAAACCCTTCAAACAATGTAGTGCTTTTCTGATGAATTAGAATACAATGTAAACTTGGTGAATTTGAAAGTTATGTAATACATTGTTCATCTCTGAAATTAATAAAACAAATCATTATAATTTAATGGAAAAGGAATAGGTTGTCCTGAAGAAACAATGATAGTACTACAAAACCTTTTTGTAATGGATTTGTGGTAATTAATTCAAATTCAGACTTTCACTTCTTCTGTTGGACTTGTTTTCAAGCAGTTACAGATCAGGAAAGAAAGTGATTTTCAGACTATAAATTTTATGTTTAGTAACTCAGATTTATTTGAAACCATAGTTTTCAAGCACATTTAAGAGCCCCTATCAGATAGAATGCCTAACACAACTGACAATACATTATTTGAAAGAATGAAGTAAGTGTAAGTATACAATAAATAAACTTCGAGATTACGCGTAACATCATTGTTATGAGAGAAATAATTATGTAAAAAATAATACCATGTGTATATATATAAATGTTATAAAAAATTGTTACATCTCTGGTCGTTTGTTAATTACCCGTAAAAATTCTTTCCAAAGAACTTCAGCGATACAAGTCCTTTCTTAAATAAAACTAGTTTATTATTTCTCAATACAACTTTGCAATACACTTAATTTCCACAGTCACTTTAACTTAAACACACGCTATAATTCACAATGATTTACACACTTTTCTTACGGCTTGACTCGATTATCTGTCTATATCTTCAAACACTGTCTGTTATTCCAGTTCCGATTAATTGTCTCGCTTTATCCGGCGCGCTTTTATACAAGAATAGAGGGCGTCTAGCAAATACTGGATTATTCGTGATGTTCCCCAATCCTTTTAGAAACTCATCACGTATTACCAGGGTCACGTGACTTCCGCTGTCGTAACAAAATCATCAAGAAATAGTAGATTATTATACAATGGAGTGAAACATAATTTAATAAGTATAAATACACATAAACGAATCAACACAATGAGTGTGTGTGTGGGTGTGTTTTCTTATAGTAAAGCCACATTGGGTTATCTGCTGTGTCCACCGAGGGGAATCAAACCCCTGATTTTAGCGTTGTAAATCAGAAGACTTACTTCTGTCCCACCAGGGATTGGTACAATGAAGAGAAATAACACCAATATTACGATATATTTCCAATAAGAAAGAGTATTACTAGTACATGAAGGAAGTAAATAAACTTGAAAAGGACGTTTTCAGCGTTTATCAAAAACAAATTTCAAATTATATGATGTGAACGCCTTTTCCAAACTGGCGAAGGGTGGTTATAAATACTCGTACCTGTCATTAGCATTAAGCTTCTTATATTTTTAACACTGTATTCTTTATCTTGTTCTTTAGGAACATTTAGGAATTAGACGAGGTCATGATCAACAATTACTACCCTAATTTCCTTTACACCTTAAAATAACAGGGTATCTAATCCTGGTCTATAATCAAAGCTTACAAAAAAACAAAAACTAA